ATTTCCCTTTTGGGATGGAACCTGAAGTGGACCCTGAAGGCAGTGCCTGATGTTCTGTACACCATTTATATATATATTCAATTTTTCCGCTATTTTTCTGGCTATTTTTAGATATATTACCATATTTGGAACTGGACCCTGGACCCTGACAATGTTACCCAACATGATGATCAGCAATGAGCCCTAATTTTTCCTGATTTTATTGCTATTTAACATTTGGAAATGCACCCTGGACCCTGAAAGGTCAGCTGCTGCTAAAAATGAAATATTCATTGAAAGCGCCAGGTACACATATGAAAAGTGCAATGAAATCTCCTAGGAATAAGAATGAAATATCCATTGAAAGTGCCAGGCATCCAAATGAGAAGCACAATGAGATATCCTGGGTTTAGCAATGAAATATCCAATGAAAGCACCAGGTATATCTATGAAAAGTGCAATGAAATATCCTAGGAACAAGAATGAAATATCCTGGGGCTAACAATGAAATATCCAATGAAAGCGCCAGATATATATATGAAAACTCCAATGAAATGTCCTGGAGCTAAGAATGAAATATATATTGAAAGAGCCAGGTGTCCATATGAAAATCGCAATGAAATATCCTGGGGTTGAGAATGAAATATATATTGAAAGCACCAGGTATCCATATGAAAATCACAATGAAATATCCTAGAACAATGAGATATGCGATCTCATTGAACCTCTAGGCATTATACACATCGCCCTCCAGGCATATGTCTGGTTTTTATCATAAAAGTGTATACCACCCATCTCTTACCTGGTACAGTGAGAGGAACGTTAAGTTGTCTCACTGTCCAGGTTTGTACACATAAGGCCCGACTAAGACGTGGAGTCACATTCTAACACCCCCCCTTGACTGGCGTCTAGTCGGAGCATGTTGATCCATCGAGCGTGAAGAACGCGGTGGAGCGGTTTGGTTAATAGATCTGCAATATTTTCTTTGTTGGAGACGTGTATGACGTCGATTAACCGTTTGATGATACAGTCACGAATAAAATGTTCACGAATTGAGATGTGCTTCATTTTTGAGTGAGCGTGTGGGTCGTGAGTACAGGCAACTGTGCCTTGGTTGTCGCAAAATAAGGATGTCGGTTTGACCTGTGGAAAACCGAGTTCGGCGAATAAATTGCGAAACCACAAAACATTGCGTGCACAATGAGTAGTGGCGAGATACTCAGCTTCACAAGATGAAAGAGCGACAACCGCTTGTTGTTTTGAGCTCCAAGAAAGCGGGGATGCTCCCATCATGATCAGGAAACCAGAAACTGATTTGCGACTGTCTCCCATTCCCCAGTTGGAATCAGTAAGGGCTTTGAACAGTGGTTGCGATGTCTCTGAACCTCCAAGGGTAATACCATGAGACGTCGTACCTCGAAGATAGCGCAGAAGATGCTTTGCGGCAGCAATGTGCATAGGTCCATAGCTTGCCATGAATCTGGCGAGTTCCCGAACGGTGTACGCAATGTCAGGTCGAGTGCAGGTTGCTAGGTACATGCACTTCCCAACGACGGTTGTGTATGGGAAATCCTTTCCCTTTTGTATATCTTCAGGTGTTGCTGGTGACAGACGAGCACCTGGATCCATAGGTGTGGTGACAGAATTGCAGGCAGCATATCCGAAATCTCGTAGGATTGATTCGGTATAAGACTGTTGATGAAGTCGAACCAATTTCTTTGGGTGATTTTGTTCAATAGAACACCCAAGATGTAGCTTCGGTTCGCCGTTGTCTGTAATCTCGAATTGAGAAGCCAAAGCCAAAACAACAGCATCAGACTCCATTGTTGAACTTGAGGCAATGAGCATGTCGTCAACGCTTGTTGTGACAATTGAACGTTGACCATTATTTGTATGCTGGTACACACTCCAGTCGGATTCAGTCCGCTTGAATCCTATTAGTCCAAGACATGAGTCAAGCTCAAGATACCACTGTCGACCAGCCTGTTTCAAACCATACAGCCCTTTTAGAAGCCTCCAGAACCCTTCACCAGCAATGGTGGGCTTGCGCAAGTAGATTTCTTCGTCTAAGGGCGCATTAAGGAAGGCTGTCTTGATGTCGACTTGCCGTAAGATCATGTCATGGTCAGCGACGAGGGCCAATATAAAACGGATTGATTCCCATCAGGCGACGGGCGCAAAAGTATAGTGGAAATCTTGACCAGGAATCTGAGTGCATCCTTTTGCGACAAGACGAGCTTTGAATCTAGTGATAAGTCCCTCATGATCTCGTTTGATGTGAAGGACCCATTTTGATTCCACTGCTTTTCGGCCAGGAGGCAATTGATCAACTTCATCGTAGACCCCTTTCGCCTTTAGAGACTCAAGCTCTTCATGGATGGCAACAAGCCACTGTGTCCAGTAAATGGTTGACTGAGCTTCATGAACGGTCTGCGGATCTTTTGCATTTGGATCATCAATAGGATCTGTAAGTGCGGCACCCGCAAAGGCGACTTCGGCATGAATGAGAGACTGAATGAGCTCTGGAAACTCGCTAGTTTGGCACTCCAGCTCCAGCTCTTCATGATCGGAACGAAGGATGGAGTGCAGAATGTTCTCCTCCCCTCCATCATCCGAAGTCCGGACATGGTCAATAACGAAGCGTGCTGGCATGCGCCTTATGCGTGGAACATGACAGCTTGCGATAGGAGTGTCAATGTCCTTCATCTCAATGTCAATCCTGGTTAAACAGGTGAAGGTGAGAAGACAATAGGAGTAGGTTAACATACTCCTTATGCTCAGTGGCAGGGGTAAGCTCAGAGGCTGGGCTATCCATGTCAACATCCATCCTGGTTAAACAGGTGAACATGGTAGGATAATGAGAGTAAGTTAACATACTCGTTATGCTCAGTGGCGGGGTTAAGCTCGGAGGCTAGATTATGCTCTTTGGCAGTGGTATGCTCAGTGGCAGGAGTGGAGTCTTGCTCCAAAATGATACGGTCTTCCTTATCACAAAAGTGTGGCTCAACATCCATAGGGATATCATCCCATAGAATGTCAGAGATTGGGGGAGAGGGGAGAGACACAGGAAAACCATGAAATTCGACATCCCGACGTGAACGTATAGTCTTGGAGTTGGGAAACCAAATCAAATAGCCCCTTGCATCACGCGCATATCCCACAAAACGACCTTCCTCTCCCCGGGGTGTAATTTTGGTCAGATAATCTGAATTTGTTTTTCTGGCTGTGACAAGTGCACCAAAAGGCCTGAGATGAGACAAATCAGGTTTATGCTTGAACCAGCCTTCAAAGGGAGTTAATTTGGAGTCGAGGGCAGAGTGTGGTACGCAATTTTTGATGTGAGTGGCAGTGTGAGCACTCAAGGGCCAGAATCAAAAGGTAAGGCCACTGTCGACAAGCATGGCATGAGCCATGGATTCAATAATCTGGTTGGCTCGCTCAGCAACACCATTTTGTTGCGAAGCATCAGGGATGGTAAGTTCGTAAGTAATGCCATGTTCTTTGCAATAATCATGAAATTGACCTTGAGTTAATTCAGGTGCGTTGTCGACACGTAGAAAAATGATGGAGCAGCCGAGAAATTTTTCGGCAGCGACACGAAATTCGTGGAAACATTTGAGAGCATCAGACTTGAGTTTGAGGAAATAAATGGCTATATAACGGCAAAAATCATCAATAAAAGTGATAAAATATTTGAAACCTCCATATGCAGAGGGTAACGGTCCACATATGTCACAGTGGATGCGGAATAAAAGGCGAGTAGCATGATTGCTGGCCTTTCGAGGAAATTTGAGCCACTTAATGTTTGCAAGGGCACAAATGCGACAGTTCTCAACACGGACACTGTCAACTGGAAGGCCGACCATTGTATGACATAGCCCTTTAACGTCTATGTGGCCCATTAGATGATGGTAAAACCCTGCTTCTGAACTTCAGCAGAATCGGCACCAGGCCCAAAGAGTGAATCAACAGATGGCATCATTGTGGCAATCAGGTCCGGGGGTGGCTGTGGTTCATCACCTGGTTCAACTGTTTCGACATCCATCTTGTACAAGTCCTTTATGATTGAGCCAGTTGCAAAAGGAACATCGACGGCATTGAAGTAAGTGATTTTCCCCTTTCCAGTTTGTGTATTGACCCCCTTTTGATCTAGTCTGGAACTGGAGAGGGGGTTGCAACGTGCTGTTGGAATATGCAGAACATTCGACACTGAAAAGTTTCGCGTTAACCCATCATACGTTGATTTCAAAATGATCTTCCCTTTTCCGACAGCTTGGGTGGTCAGGCTTGTCCCAAAACCATGTACTGCCAAAGGGGACTCGAATGTGGCATAATTGTGAAAGAGTTCATGTTTGTGAAATATATGGCAAGAAGCTCCAGTGTCATGGTGAATGGAGTCATTCTGGTCAACGGTGGCATTGCATATAATTGCGTTGACTTTGATTTCTTCATCAATTGTGATCTCATCACCTTCTTCATCAGGTAGTGTCGACATAGATATGAAATCGTCCACCACTGTGCTGATGATGTTGTCGACATCTTCATCTGCATCGTCTGCATAGTCAGCTAAGCCAGAGAAATGTTGGCTGAGCTTTCCTTCTAGGGCACTCTTCCGACAAGCAGCAATTCTTGCTTCAGGTGAGAGGTGGATGTCCCTCTTGCCACGAAAATTCTCAGGATATTTCCCAGCCTTTCCCCCTCCATAAGAGAAGCAGTCAGCTTTGACATAGCCAATTGGAGTCTCATAGTAAGCATTCTCGCAGATTTTATGTGGTCCAGATCGTTGTTGGTTATCATAGGGAGCAGGACGTTTGGTTTGTCGTTGGATGGCCTTGTCTAGTTTGCGGTTGTTCTGATTTGAAGATCCAGCAGCATATGAGCTTGGGACAACACTGTCTCCTCCATCAGGAACCTTCCTCTTGGTGACAAGGGCATTGATGGATACGATTGAAGGCGCAATTTTCATTTCAACTTCTTCATGCTTCAAGCATTGAAGAACAACAGCCAATGAAACAGGCCTTCCCATAATTTCGCCTTGACGAACTTTATCTCGAAGAGAATCACGGCAGTATCGCCACTCATCAGACTGCGACATGAGGGTGACAATATGCTTGGCGAATTTGGTGTCAGGCATCATGAGAGGATCGGCATCCCGCAGTTTTTGGTACAACTGGACCATCACCTGTCTCCAGCGAACAGGATCATCGTGAGTTCCGCATTCATATCCGATGATTTGCTGTTTGATAGTTATAGCCGTCAATGTGTTTGCTGGTTCATATTCGTTCTTCAAGGTTATCCAGGCATCGTGTGCAGACTTGCAATCACGAACGACATACAGCCTTTCAACTGGAACGGCTTTGACTATGATGGCGTGAGCCCTCTTGTCAGCAAGAAGCCAAGCTTCAGCATCCCTCTTTGCATTCTCAACCACAACCTCGTTCCCAGGAATGGTGACAGTGACAGTAGCTCCCGCATTGTCGAGACCTTGAACCTGCTGACTCTGCCTGAGTACAGGTATGACTGGTGGATTATAGTCCGGGCCATCGACATATTTCCAGTATCCAGCAGCATCAAGCTCAAGCTGAGACTTCTGCTTGAACTCGTTGAAATTGTTCGTCCCATCCTCTTCTTCCTTGATAGGGGTAAGCTTTATCCCTTTCCATTCTTTCTCCTTATTGACAGAGCTTTGATTGGCAGACATTCTGAGTTTCCGAGTGCAGGCAGTTGAAGAGAATCACGATAGCGAGGACTGAGAGAGGTTGTTTCAAAATCGGCAGAGGACGTAGTGCGCGTTTAGAAACACTCGGGGCCCATAACCTGTTAAATATATATATATGAAAGCTGGTACAGTGAGAGGAACGTTAAGTTACGATACAAATACACTAGATGATTTGACTTCTTACCTGGTACAGTGAGAGGAACGTTAAGTTGTCTCACTGTCCAGGTTTGTACACATAAGGCCCGACTAAGACGTGGAGTCACATTCTAACAAGTTATTAACAAGCAAATGGATTCCTGGCTGAGTTTAGATGTCATAGAACCATCCAAGAGTCTTTGGGGAGCGCCGGTCTTTATTGCGTATAGGAACAGTAAACCACGCATGGTAATTGACCTCAGACGTCTTAACGAAAGAGTCATACCTGACGAGTTCCCTCTCCCAAGACAGGACGAAATTCTACAGTCCTTAGAGGGAAGTCAGTATTTGTCAACCTTGGACGCACTCGCCGGATTTACGCAACTTAGCATAGCTCCGGAAGATCGCAAGAAGTTAGCATTTCGTTGTCATCGAGGATTATTCCAGTTCAAGAGAATGCCTTTCGGATATCGAAACGGGCCCGCAGTCTTTCAACGAGTTATGCAGAGAGTTCTCGCCCCCTATTTGTGGATTTTTGCGCTAATCTATATAGATGACATCGTAATTTTCTCTAAATCTTTCGAAGAACATTGTTTGCACGTAGAAAAGGTATTAGAGGCAATTAAGTCAGCAGAAATAACGCTTTCTCCCTCCAAGTGCCACTTCGGCTATCAATCAATAATGCTATTAGGACAGAAAGTATCTCGGTTAGGACTCTCTACGCATAAGGAAAAGGTAGACGCCATAATACAATTGGAAAGCCCAAGAAACGTACATGACCTGCAAATGTTTCTAGGAATGATGGTTTACTTTTCATCTTATGTCCCCTTTTACGCTTGGATCGCACACCCTTTGTTTCAACTCCTTAAGAAGGAAAATAAATGGGCTTGGGGCAAGGAAGAACAAACAGCTTATGAGTTATGCAAACAAGTCCTCACGGAAGCACCGGTAAGGGCTCATGCAATACCAGGACTGCCGTACCAAATTTATTCAGACGCCTGTGATTTCGCCGTGGCCGCGATCCTTCAACAAGTCCAACCTATAAAGGTAGGAGATCTCAAGGGGACTAAGATCTATGAGAAACTGGAAAGAGCATTTAAGAAAGGTGAACCAGTGCTGACTTTAGTCACTAGTCTTGATAAGGAAGGAACGGACGTACCCCCAGTTGGCAAATGGGAAAGGAATTTTGACGACACGACGGTACACGTTGAGCGTGTAGTTGCCTACTGGTCTCGTGTACTACAATCGGCTGAAAGGAATTATTTGCCCACTGAAAGAGAAGCGTTAGCCTTGAAGGAAGGGTTAATCAAATTTCAGCCGTACCTGGAGGGCAACAGAATTTTTGCGATAACAGACCACGCTGCCTTGACGTGGAGTAAGACATTTCAGAATGTCAACCGAAGACTACTTACGTGGGGTTTGATATTTGCAGCATTCCCCAACATGAAGATCGTACATCGGGCCGGACGCGTACATTCAAATGTTGACCCCATTTCCCGACTAAGGCGACGACAACCTAGCCAAGAAGGGCCTGCAAATGTGGATGTCACGTCGCTCAGCCTAAAGTTGAATGAGGACCCATTAAGGAACATGTTCAACGAATTGGGACCACAGTTCGAGGAAAAATTACTAACTGTAGCTTCAAATTTCATGAATTCGGAATTAAGAACGATAGAAGAAACGACATACGTACCTGTGAAATTACAAGTTGGAGAATCAGAAGAAGTGGAAACCCTGCAACCAACGTCACGAAGTTATTCCACTTTGGTAGGAATTGATCCAAACGAAATAACCAGGTGGAAACTAGCGTACGATGAAGATCCGCATTTCAAATCAGTATTGAAAGCGATAAGAGAAGACGAGGACCATAACGTACCTTTTCCGCAATATCACTATTCCGATAATGGACTCCTATATTTCGAAGATAGCATGGGAAACACGAGGATGTGCGTACCAAAGGAGTTGAGGAACGAAATCATGTCTGAAAGTCACGACATCATTTCGGAATCTGCGCACGGTGGTTATTTCAAAACATACAATTGGATAAGTGCAACATACTATTGGCCGCGAATGTCTAGGGAGATCAAGAACTTCGTTAACACCTGCGACGTATGTCAGAAGACAAAGCCAAGACGACACGCACCCATGGGGTTGTTGCAACCGATACCGATCCCCTCTCAACCATTCGAAGTCGTTTCGATGGATTTCATACCTGAACTTCTATTGTCAAGCGGGTTTGACAATATTTTGGTCATCGTTGACAAACTCACGAAGTACGCTATCTTCATTCCAACCACTGTTAAAATTAACGAAGTTGAAACAGCGAAGTTGTTTTTCAAGCATATCATTACCAAATTCGGAATACCCCGCCAAATTATTTCCGACAGAGACACGTGTTGGCGAGGAGATTTTTGGAAAGAAATCTGTCGTTTAATGGGGATGAAACGATCCCTGACGACGTCATACCATCCACAAGCGGATGGACAGACGGAAGTAATGAATCAGGGCCTCGAGATCTCGATCCGCGCGTACATCGGCCCTGAACGAAATGATTGGAGTGATTTATTAGACGTGCTCGCTCTTTCGTACAACTCTTCACCACATACTGCAACCGGATTCGCGCCAGCTTACCTCTTGCGAGGCTACCATCCAATAACAGGAATGACCTTGCTAAAGAGCCCGGAACCGATAGGAAGAGGAGAAACACTCGAAGACCACCCAAGACATGAGGTGCTTGATGAAAGGGCCCTACATATGACAGAAGTGTTTGAGGCTGAGCGAGGAAAGGCACGGGATGCCTTACTTCTGGGTCAGATTTTCCAGAGAAAGAACTACAATAAGGATAGACTGACTTGGGAGTTTCAGGAAGGGGACAAGGTCGTGATCAATCGGAAGAATTTGGGTCTTCTCGGCGATGAGAAGGGATGAGGTAACAAGCTTCTAACGAAATACGAAGGACCATTTGAGATTCTTCAAAAGCTGAGTCCTGTCTCTTACCGGCTTCGTATGCCAGCCTCATTCGGGATGCACCCAATACTCAATATAGAACACTTAGAACGATATCAAGAATCCCCTGAAACATTCGGGGAGAGGCCTAAAATTAGGATGAAGCGAATGGATTTTGAGGAACTACCTGAGTATCAGGTGGAACACATCGTGGCGGAATCGTGGCGCAAAGGAAGGAACGGTAAGCGGATACCCATTTATCGAGTACGCTATACAGATTATGGACCGGAAGCGGACACCTGGGAGCCAAGACAGAACTTGAAGAATGCGCCAGCTATTTTGGGGGAATGGATTAACAACAAGGCATCGAGATCCAGAAGGATAAAACAGGCAAAATGAATGAACAGAAAACTTATTTAAACCGTATGTCTGCATCTTTTCTTTATTCAAAACTTTCATCTCTTCTTTCAACTATTCATCACCACTTCGCTGTTCAAATCATGCAGACTATTGAAACTTATACGCCCTCTTTGCCAAACCTCCATTTAACTCCCTTCCAATCCATCAACACCGTCGCTGACGACGTCAACCCACTCTACTACCGCTTAACCACCGACAACTTCATCGTCCTCACTCTCCCTTCCGGCCAACTTTTGTATGCACTCGACCCCGCCACCGGTACTTCCTTGTGGTGGGCACTACGTCGCATAGCTCGAGTCATAACTCGCGCAGCCATCCATTCCATCGCCATCGACCCATTCGTACCCGTCACGCAACGCGGATATATTCCTCAGTTTCAGTTTGACCGTATCTCTATGCAGCGCCCGGCGGTTCTGTCCACGTTGAGCCCCGACTGCATGAATCCGCTTTACGGATATACCTCACGAGAAAATATTCAAGCATGGTTTACCGACTTCCAGAACATGGGGAGGCAGGCTATCCAGTGGATTCGGGCGGCACGCTATCAGTCAGCACACTTAAGACTTCATTCGGGTTGGAACTGGGACGTTCTTCCCCAGGACAGTGCGAGACTGGAATTTCCTGACCGCTATTTGATCAAAGGACCCGATGGTACGCAGTCCAGAATTATATTTTCACATGGACTGACGAAAATAATAGCACGCATCGACTCCAACTCCTATTCTGTCCCCTCCATCTGCAGCTCTTCGGCTAGCGATTCCTCCAGCGAGGTTAGCAGCTTTACGTTCGACGAAGACATTATTATGGGAGGTATCGATGACGACGATAGGAGCCTCGTCCTACATCCTTTACTCTCAGCCTATGCGAAACACTATACCGATTACGATGTCTTTAGCAAGGAACCTCTAATCGACAACGGTTACGTCGAGTGAGGAGCTGGAGATCTTACGCCATACGCTCACATGTTATCCCCACTCAACTCTACCGCATTCCCAATTCTCTCGCTCCCAGCAGGTCGCGACTAGCAGGTAATTCGAATCTCAAGGACAGGGGGGGGTATGTTAGGGTACTCTGATTATTACTAGTCTCGTTATCCTTTCATTCTCACCACCAGATAACTTCATCAATGTTCCATCTCTTCTTTGTATTATCTGACTAGTTTCTATTTAGTTGTATTCTGTTGCACTATCTCTTTAGATAGTTGTATTCCGTTGCGATTGTACTTAGTGTGTTTGAACGCGCTCAAACACGACTTGTATTCGCGCGTCATGCGCTTTGTATATGTTAGGATTACAGGTTTTGTTAGGAATGCAAGTCGAACCAAACAGTTTTGAGTCAGGTAAATGTTTGGTAAGCGATCCGAAGGAACGTTGTAGTAGGAATATGAAGGATCTAGATACTTCTACGTTACATTCTACTTGTATTTAAATTAGGTGAAATGCAAGAAGTAAGTTTCATACTTACTTTTATCCCAACTTGATTTGACTTAAGTTCTTCGAACTAAGCAGCATCCCTTGAGTAAATTGATAAGGCTAAGCGCTATCAATTCACTCTGATCGACCGTCAAGGCTACACGCTGACGTTACGATCAATCAAGTGACGCTGTCATCGGACACTCGACGGACACTCAAGACTCTCTACGCTTTTAGGAATACTCGCCCTCTACGTGTTGTATTTACATACAACGCATTTGACTCTCTCGCTTAGGTAACGTTGTCTAAATATGATTAACTGCTAACTTTGTATTCATAGGAATACACCAACGCAGAGTCGTAAACTCTAACAATGTTGAGGATCCCTCAATGTATGGCATTGACTGGGAGGTCGCCGATGATCCCACATTGATGAATCATCTATTGACGGAAAATCCACAAGACTGGGTTGAGGAGAATCCCTTCATTGCGAGTACTGGTCCACCAACTTTCTCACACGTTCCATGTGAATCACCCAACTGTCCTCTTTCTCCAGAACAGGTGAACATGTTGGACACTATGCTAGCGATGCGAGTAAATATTCACTCAAGAAGTATGGAGATACGACGCCTTGTTTGGCTTGAGGCTGCCAATATATGCAGACATTTTCTCACCCACACAGAACAACCTTTCCTACCTACTGCTTAATAACACTAAGGAAGTCATCAGCTACCTTTATTTATATATTCTTTCGTATAGCAAGATGTTAAATCAAAATTGTATTGATCTGTAAAAATCATCCTCTCCTCCTAAACATAACTACACTAACAATACTGATCGGAAAAAGAGTCTACTGAATTTTCTGTATTGAATTGTCAATCAACTGTTGTCAGAATTATAAAAATTAAATGCATACCATAATTGTTGCAATGGTCTTCTTCAACTCCTCTGGATCTGATGAAAAGGGAAAAGGAAAAGCCAGTTGATCCATCTTATTCTTTCCTGAGATCCAATGTTCTTCTGGTAGGTCAATTGATGCGGCCATTTTATCCAGGCTAGATACTTTTCCCTCTACAAGGCGTGACTCCCACCGTACCACTTTGCAGAGAAGATGCTCGACAAAAATGGGACTGAATCCGAGAATTTTCTTGTCGTCCTCTGTAAGGAATTGGTGAAGATGGTTGTAAATGATCATGTATGCAGACTGAACGGATCCAAGGTCAGGGCAGATGAAACCCAAGTGCTGAAGACCTCTGTACGCCCCCAGTGTTCCGTGATCATATATCCAGTCTGCGACCTCTACAGATGCCGGCATCTTTGCCAACCCCAGAAATACTAGACTATTTACCAGTTGGAAGACTGTAAGCCCAGCTTTGAATCCCAGCAAGTTGAGAGCAGTCATCATATCCATGGTGCTTGTCCAAGACTTACGATCACCTTGATGCGTGGCCAGATCCTTGTTGACAAGATCACCCAGCCATGCAACCCAAGTGGTCTGCACTTCCTCTGCAAAATACGGCCCAAACTTATCCTCAAGTGTGTAAGTTATACCATGTGCATTCGTTGGCGTGATGTTAAGATAATTGCTCGGCTGGCCCCAGATTGTATCGTCATAAACGGGGACTTTTCCTCTCTTATCACCGCCAGAGGCAGGACCATGGAGTGATATGTCCACTATGTTATCCTTGTGCACTGGCCAAAATAAGGCCAGCATTGTGTCAAGGTCATTCTGAAAAAAGCCACCAGAAGCTGACACGATGTCCAAAAACTTTTTGGTGCCGTGTCCTTGACCGGTCCCCATCCATGAGAGTAGATTGGAGAGACCTTTTGGGGCCATAAGTTTCGAACCAGGTAGATGTTCCTGCATCAGAAGAGCAGTGCATGAGTATTGTCTGACAGGATCTGTCTGATCTCGGTTGTGCTCTCTCTTGCTGTTCTGGGATGCATGCCGTCCCTCTAGCACCCTCTGCAAAATA